TTTTTCTTGTTTAAAGGAACGTAATTATGATGGGTTCTCAGTGGGAATGTAAAAACAGATTAAGTTTTTGTTCCTTATGTAAACAAGGAAGCTCTAGAGAAACTTGGTAATGATTCTGAGGGAGTTAGTTTGGCTAAAGAAGAAACTCGCATTAATAAATATTTAAAAAAAGAGTTTGAACCAAAGCAGATAATTTTGACTTTATTAGCATCTGTTGCTAAATTGTCACATGCCATGTAGACCTCTGCTGTTCAAGTTGAAAGCTTCATTTTAATTAGCTTTCTCTGTATCCTAAAATTCCTCACCATGTGTGATTAATAACATCTTCAGCACAACATTTCAGACTGCTGGCCCGGCCGTGTATCTAAATAAACTTCTTTTCATCTCTGCGTGTCTGTGCGGTCGGATATTTCAATGTGTGTCTGTTCGCATAAAATTCATAGCTCCCTCTGTCCCGTTTTTGAACTATCTTTGAAGCCGCAAAATTGTTTCATCCTGCATGTGTTAGGTATCATTTCAATTGACACCGTGCTCTCTGCTACCAGTGCTTTGAATTGAGCATACTTGCATGCTTGTTAGATTGAAACAGCTGTCAGGGGAGATAGCAAGACCGACTCACTCCTCTTCCCTTCACTTATCATTTGCCTATTTCGGTCTTGCTCATCTTATTATGACCTCCAAGAAAGTCAAAATATTCTCCTTTTTTTTATATTTTTACCTGTTTTTTTTGTCTCTGAATGGTATCGCAGTGAGCAAACGCAGCATGGTGACAGATTTTTGGACATTTTGTCCCTACAGGTGTGCTGTACACCTGTAGCACAGTTGGAAGCAAGGCGGGAATAGTACAAAGGAATTATCAGGATGTCTTGTGCACAGTGTGCTTATGGCAGTTTTTGAAATTTGAAGTAACTGCAGCAGGAACCTGTTGGAAAAGAAAATTGAAATCTGTGTGAAGTTTAACATTTTCACAAAACAACAAATCACATCTCGATTCGGCTGCACAGACGTTAAATTTAGTGGGGACGCCACTTAAACATCAGTCATGGAGTATCTTCTGTAGTCAGTGTTGCAATTCTTTATTTGAATATCTGCCAATACAGACTACTGTCCACTTGGACCATTTGGTTTTTGGTCCATTTTATTTGTCATCATTTTTAGCACCAATTTACAAACTTTACAAATGTATCTCTTCTACTATCACAGCAGTTTATTACATACACTTGTAACTCACACATTGTGATCCATTTTGCGAAATCGGGGTGTAAAAAGTGTTTGGAGAATTAAATACCTGAAAGAAATGCACAGCCCTGATTAAATCCCACTTCTCTGTGATGTAAAAATGTAGATGATACCAAAGGATTTGAACATTTTTAACCACTTTTTAATGGGATGTTTAACCTTTAAAATTCAAATTAAAGACTTGCTAATCAGCTGCAACTGTGCACACTGCTCTTTGTTCTGGCAGATTTAGCTCTGGAGCTTCAAAAACACCAACCACATGCTTAAAAATCTGAGAACACAGCTAACTGATACGAACAAATCTTAATCATTTCATTCAACTTCACAAAAAGGTTGACAGCATGAAACTGCCATCACGACGTTTAACCGTAAGGACGATGTCCTTTGGGTGAAGCCCAGTGTTTCTGTGCCAGACCTGCAGTTAATTGCAGCCCAAAACTGAAGGCTTGATTTCATCAGACCAAAAACACATGTTTGGGGATGTTTGTAGAAGAAAAGGAGTCTGTCTGTCAACCCCACTAAGTCACATGCAGTCAGTACTACTCAAAAGCTCCCAAAGCTCCTTCAGTCTTACTGTCTGCCTCTGAGTCTTAACTCTTCATCAATGATGCAGACATGTTCAGTTTTAGTAATACTGTTGCTCCTGTTTTTCTCAAATTGGGAAAAAAAAACAATATTTCCAAAAGCATTTGCTTTAGCTAAAAGATCCAAATGAGAAAAAAATTGAGAAAATCTCATAAGAGAACATAACTTTTAGTTTCCCCAAAAGCCAGGTAAGAAAACTAAATGCTGAAAATAAGTTATTATATTAATTTAAGTGTGTGCACTTTCCTGCAGCCCTCAGTCGGTAAAAGATTTGATTTTTTAGTTGAATTGTACATTATTGTCATGTTAAAGGCAGAAAGGTTCTGGACATTTTTTTTATTTTTTTTAAAAATACCCTGCTAGTTAGCAGAGGTGTGTAAATCCACAGTGTCTTCAAACATGTTCTCCATTTTTAGTGTGATACTGCAGTGATGTTATCCACCCACAAGCAAACAGCCAGCTTTAGTTTCATATGACTGAAAAGGTCACTTTGTTGCTTCAAATCACATTTGATCGCGCCCATAGCATTTACCAAAGGAGCAGCCTAAAAAAACCTAAACAAATACAAACTCCCTCTTATTTCTCTCTCTCTCTCTTCCTGTTGCTCTCATCCTGGATCTTCACCTTCCACACAACCTTCTTGTGATTTTTGTCCTCACCATTTGTAACAGTAAATGACTCACACCTTTCTGGCAACCTGGCCCTGTGGGCTAAATTTGAAGCCTCATGTTTGTGTTTGCACAAACACACATTCATCCATCTGTACATGTGTTCCTGCAACCCACACGAAATCAAATCCAGGTATTATGTATTTAAAGTGGCAGCCTGCTGCTTTTGTTTCTCCTTTTCTCCTGTACCTGTCGGGGGGCCTCCGATTCTGCTTTTTAATGAGCAGAGGCTTTCCTCACACTCGCTTTGTCTTGTGTACTTGTGTTTCTGTGTCTGCGGCACTTGTACTGACCATCAGAGACATGCTGCTCTGAGTCCCAGGGCTAATTGCTGCTGCTGGGCTGATAGTCTTTCAGTGCTACAGTCTCATTGACTCCCTGGACTCCAGGGGGGTTCCCACCGGCACCCACAGACAAACAAACTTGGGCGGACAATCAATAACGGAAGCAAGACTTACCGCTCAGCACAGCTGCTGATTAGGATTCAGTGGGAATTTATGTGCGTGTGGAAGCTTCACTCAGCCCCTTGGTTGCTGGTTGTAAGTGATGTTAAATATTAGTGTCAAGATGACATGAATAACACCAAGTTATTGTTTTCCATAAGACTTCACAACAGTAAAAAGAAACTTTAAAGCTCAGAAGTTTCCTCTTAAAGCTACAGTATGTAGCTTTTATGAAAAATCTGCTTTTTATATATTTTTAAAATTCTAACCATGTAGTGACGGATAATCTATTGAATACTCCTAGTGCTATTGTTTCTGTGTAAAGATATGCAAAACTCCCAGTGAAGAACAGCCAATCAGAGCCAGGAGGAGCGTGTTAACGCTGTCAATCAAACATGTGAAAGCGTTGCTAAATGTGCTTATGAAGGAGAAACCATGCTAACTAGCCTTAGCATTCATGAAAGGCTCAGGGAGAGTGTGAGCATCAAGTACACAAGCTTGATTGCTTCTCCTAGCTCTGATTGGTTGTTTCTGACCAAACTGCATTTCTGCAGTCAGTTCTGGGAGCAGTGAGAGAAGGCAGAGGAGCTCAGTTTTTTTCACATTGTGCACCATAGTGACAATTATAATAAATATGTAAAAACATATTTTTATTTAAAAAAAGTACTAGTTCCACTGGCAGACCATTTCACTTATAACGTGGGTAAAACATCTTCTGTAATTGGAAAAAAATCTGCCAGTGGGATTAGTGCTTTTTTTCAATAAAACGGCATTATTGGCCTTAAAGAATATTCTATAACTTGCTAAAAAGTTACTTTAAGTTAGTTTGTCTTAATTCAAGTGTCCTAAGATGTTTGCAGTAGAAACTTTTTAGTTACTTTCAGCAGCTAACAACAAAATCAACATGCATAATGGTTTAATTTAAAGACTTCTACCATTTTGAAGTGTGCATTTTCTGAAACCTTTGTTTCAATTGGCCAGGATGGGGACTGAACCCATGAGTCACAACGATGATCTTGACCAAGCGCTGGGGAAATGTCAAGGTTGGCCGACAGATTGCCTCAAAGCAATCAGCCTTGTCTTTCTGTGTGCCGACAGTGTGAGCTCTCCGTCTCTCTCGCCATCTTTCCATCACTACCTCTTTCTTTCCCCCGTCCATCTTTAGTTTCTCCTCTGCTGTGTTTACCCGGGAGGGGTAAGACATGTGTCATGGAGGATTGGCAGCGGGAGGGATGGTGTTGGTGGCGGGGGGGTCGTCAGGCCCTGCTTTGAAGTTTCGTTTTTGACGTGCGGTGGGGGCCCAGAGTGAGGGACTTGAAAGCAGCGACCGTTTCTGCCTCTGTGACATTTGAGCACGGAGCAGCGTGACCTGCTTGTGTATGCTGGAGTATGTACTCTACATATAGATTTATATGTGAACATGTGGGTGTATGTGTGAACAAGAGAGCCTCTCTTCTTCATAACAAGTTGTCCTCCAATCCACAAGTGCTTCTAGAGGCTGAGTATGAGATTTATATTGAATGCAATGAAAAAAGGAGACACTATTTTGGTCTCCAACATTTAGATTTGGACATGTGAAATGGCTCTTAGCTGCATGTAGCAAATAGATCAACAGTAGAGAAACATCATGGCTAAGTGTTAGAGATGGGTAACATTTAAAACCTCAGACTCGTCTCCTCCAGCAACCAATCGTAAATAGTGTAGAACAAGGGGATAAGTTTTACTAAACTGGCCCTTTCATGCATGAATTATGATCCTTTATGTCCAGGTTTTTTTCAGGACATAAAGGAAATTGTTTTTGATTTTCTTAAGCCACAAAAAAAGGTGGCGAAAGAAATTCTAGGTTTTCTCTAGGTGATCATTTTTAATTTTCTCCAATTACAAAGTTGTTATTTGGAAAATACACCAGTATTGTTAGTCTTTAGTGTTTACATGTCCTCTACAGAAGAAGACGGGTCTTGGATATTCCTGAGTTGGTCGGCATGATTTTTCATCTGCCATATTGGGTTTAACAAAAATGTTCTTGCACTTGCAATATTGTATTGTATGAGGCACTAGAGTCCACTCCAGTGGTCAGTGTGCATTTTTGACATAAAAATCCAAAAGAAGCACAAAAAAGGCTTTTAGATAGCTGTCCACTGCAGTGGCCTCTTCACTATAAACACTGAACTTACAACGTACATTTTCATTTAATTCCTTCAACTCTCATGCATAGTCTATGTGGCTAAGGACACACAGCTTTCTTTGGATTAGCACTGCATGCTTCCCCAGTGCACCTGAATGGCTTTCCACTGTTGGCTTCTTACACATGAAAGACTGCACCGTAATGCACCACACAGTGTCTTCAACCCCAGCCAAGCAACATCAAAATGTGCTTTTTGCCTGTCTTCATCCTCTGCCTCATTGTGCTGTGTCCGCCTTTCTGTCCCGCCTGGAAACGGTGTAAACAGGTGTTAACATGCCGCCCCACAAGATGCCACATGCCGCTGTGTCATGATCTCCTGAACAGCTGTCTCCCACCATCGTGTGTTTGTGTGTGTGTGGTTAAATGTGTGGGTCTTTACTGTACAAGTTATAAATGGCTACAAAGGGGCATCGGACTCAAAGAGGGGCCAAAGAATGGATAAGGGTGTTTAACTGATCACAGAGAACTTAAAAGCTACGGCTTTCAAAACTACTGCAAATGTCAAATATAGTGGCAGTACTCTGCAAAGACACAAAATCTTATTGAATATTTTCTGTTTAGTTTCTAGTTCAAATATCTTTGCACACTTGAAATAAGACAAAACTAACTTGCAAGTAGCTTCTCAGCAAGATACAGGATCTTGTTTTAAGTCAATAATTCTTGAATATGGACTAAAAATTACTGGTTTTATTGGAAGATATTTTTTTCTTTCAACTAGACATTATTCCCATGTTATAAGTGAACACAAATCCCAATAGAACTGATACTTCTTACATCAATATTCAAGAATTACTAACTTCAAACAAGCATCTTTATGTTGCTGAAAAGTTACTTGCAAGTCAGTTTTGCCTTATTTCAAGTGTTCTGAGACATTTGCACTTGAAAGATATGCTTGGTAAGCTTTTGTGTTTTTGCATTTTAGCATCATGCAGTGAGAAAATTATCTTTTTTAATATATTTACTTAAGTTGTAAAGATATATATGACAGCAGTACTGTCATATATGACAGTACTGCTGTCATATATGTGGCTGCAAAGACTCCACAGAAAGCTGCAGAAACCAAAATTGTCTTGATGTTCTTCTCAATCAAAAGTCTGTAATTTTATTGTGATAATTTATCAAAAAGAAATCCCCCAAAAAACATGAAACAATGTGTTAAACAGCAGCTTATGCTACCATGTTTGCAGTATGTGTCCATACTGCAAACATATGGACACATACTGTATGTGCTTCTTATTAGTTATTCAAATCAAGCTTCTAATTAAAGTTTGTCAGTGATAAAAGTTACGCTGTCATCAATCACACAATGATCAACTACAATGTCGGAAAATTGATTTCACATTTGCACTTTTTACCACCTTCCTGTTACTCTCCATCTCAATATATTTTAGCAAACTGTGGTGTTTTAAGCACTATCTGAGTTTATTATTTTCAAGACTGTTTTTCATCATTCACAAATCAGATTAGGCCATCGGTCTCTTGTTTATTTCAGGCTGCAGATAAAGAATATCAGCAGCCTGAAGAGACGGCCAGACACTGACTGTGGGAATGGATTAATAAAATAACCAGTATGACATTAAAGCTGAATCATCTTAACAGACAGAATTATGATGTAATGCAATATTATGGTTATAGTTACATTTTAGGCAAAGAACAAAAAACTAAAATCAAAAGCATTTTAGTTGTTCAAAATAATCCCACACAATATTTTCCCCACAGTCATGAACAGACTGAAGCCCAAAGGCTTATTTTTCTGTTTTTCCAAAACAAACATTTGATGTCTCAAATAATTAAAGCCACTTTAATCTTTGATTATTTTATACTTTAAATGTTTTTGGAAATCATCATCGTGCCGCTGTCTTATTTCATAACATATTAGCACAATTAAGAATAGTCTAATTCTTAACTCAACATAGTGTCTAGAAAGCACAGGACTGAACCAGTAATTGGTTCAGCATATTTTATTTATTAGTCTAGTTGGTCTTTTCTGTATTTTTAATAATTCTATTTATATATTTTAAGCATTTCCTAAAGTTTCACTGTGTATTCTGAAAGTATTTTAAAGAAAAAATATTGTAATTCAACACCACGGATAGATATAATTTTATTTTACATACTTGTCTGTCACGTCCTTCTATGAGTATCATCAACGAATCTATCAACCTTTAACCTTTAAACCCAGTAAATAAATAGGTCTTGATATTAAACCTTGTGGAACACCAAATGATATGAAAATGAAAAGATTAAAAGCTATTTAAATAACTTGATAATCAGCAAGAAAACAGTGAAATGTTGATCAATTTCCGCTAAACTTTAAGTATTTTATCACATTTTATTAGTTGATGTGAAACATCTAATAGATGAGTTTGTTTTCGGTTTCCTTAAACCGTCATTCAATGAATCTCTGTTGGCATAAAACAACAAAAAGCTATTTCTCTCAGTTATATTTCTACTGCAGCAGATTCTAACATTATCCTCCCAGTCCCAGTGTGATGTCCTAATTTGGTTTCACAGCCATACTGTTTCTATTATTACATTCACCTACAGGGCGACGCGTCCTTGTTTTTGCATCTGCCAGAAGAAGTTGGCTCTAAAAGCACGCCTGGTAATCTGCCATGAATGTGGTGACATGCTAGATTTAACTGTGTCATCACAGCACACCTCCTTACCTTTCCACCCAGACATGCTTGCACACATTCACGCTCGCATTTGGTGGATGAAAGGAAGTGGGGAAAGGTCGCGTCTTGGGGCGAAGTGGACGAACTCCAGAAATAGACATCGGAACTTCCAGCGACGGGGTTGGGAAAAGTTTCCTGTGGGACAAATAAAAGGAAGATCAAGGTTGAGAAGAGCTGGCAGAATCTTAGTGCAGCTTTTGTTGAGAAATTTTGGGACATCCACAGGCATTCAGTATCACACACACACACACACACACACACACACATCACATGCACACAGTTGCACACAAACTGTCTTTTGTTTGGCGCCACTGCCAAGTGGAGTGTCAGTTTCAAAGTGGGAGCCTTTAAGTGGCGCCCAGTGAGCCCGCGGTAGTGTTCATGTCATGGGCAGTTGGCTGCCGGCTGTACGTGTGTGTGAAGTGAAAGTGTGTGTTTCTTGTTTATGTGGGTATCACATGTCTGGAGGCAGAGGAGTGTAACGGCCAACACGAGGCAGGGCTGCTGCAGGCACAGATACGTGATGGTAGACTGACCCTGACTCAGGGCACACACTTTTAGGTATTAACCTTCACACACTGTATTTTCAATACATTGCATTCTACATTTAGTTTTATGATCAGAATTTAAAAACAAGCATCAAGTTTTTGGGGAAAAAAATGTCAAAACCATTTTTTTCCGTATCATTTAATGAGATACCAGAGAACCTGCCAGAGAGACCAGAGTTTTCTCTGGCACAGTCTAGTGTTTCACTGCTACAGGGCTTAAATTCACTCGTCTGCTTTGTGAATTAATTAAGACTTACTGTGAATGACTAATGCTTAATATTTGAGAGATTTTTGAGTTTTCGAGACCTAAAATATGAAATATGTGAATCTGACATGACTGTAGCTGACTTCCTACCTTAGCAGACTGCCTGACTAATCATAAGTATTTTTGTCTTGTTTCCAGTGCAAATATCTTAGCACACTTGAAATACTTTTTATTAATATTCCAGAATTATTGACGTTACCTGAGCTGATATATCTTGATGGAATCTTGTTTGTAAGTTAATTTAGCCCTGTTTCAAGTGCACATAGATATTTGTAATAGAAAGTAGACACACAAAAATAAAATCCTTGGTAAGATTTTATGTTTTTGCAGTGCGACCAATATAACCATGCTTTACCCCGGATCCCAGAGGATTCATGGAAGTCAAGTCAACGATAAAACATATTGACTGGATCAACATGTATATATGTTGAACAGTATCATAAGATTATGATTATTAGATTATGCATGTGAAACTCAACCGTAACTTGTTTCTATTGCTAATCCAGTAGTTGAGACGCCTGACGGAATGAGTAGAAAATATCAAATGCACCAAATAACATAATACAGTAATGTTGTGGAATATTATTGTGGAAATGGAACTGTGTCATAACAATCATAGAAAGAGTCTTCAGTCAGAATCCTCTTTAGATTCACTGCAAGACTGACTGCTACTGGAGATCCTTCCTTCCTGTCCACATCATCATCTACAATGACTCTTTGGAGATACTTTGATGGTATGAGTTATAACATCTAATTTCATTTTGGGATGAAGTTTTTTTGTTTTTTTTTTAATTGAAATGCAAGCAGATAACATTTTATTTTTATTAGTTTTTGGGAAGGCACTATAAGCCGTGTTATGTGTTTTACACAAGACTGTTTCGTACCAACCCACGCCTAATGCCACATCACTAGAGAAGCAATGATCCAGTGAATTTGTCCGAATTCTTCTAGATGTGACCATTTCTGCATCACATTCCTGTAGTTATCTGTTTTGCCCTCTATCAAAAACCACTCAGCTGCCCCTATTAAGCAAACTGTGGCCGAGGCTCACTATCTTGGAAAGCACTTTATTTTAAGCCCTTCAACAGTTTTGGTCATTTGCATCCTGGGAGTCCGGAGCAAAGGTGGCGGTTAGGAACACGCACACGCACACACACACACACACACACACACACACACACACACACACTTCACCCTGATAATGGAATTTTAAATGTTCTGCTCCTTATTAACTTTTTAGTTTATGAAAAATCAGGCCTTTTTTCGCCATCCACGAGGCAAAGCCACTGGTCCGTGTCGCTGTTGCAGATTAATTACTTCTCTGTGTCGAAGAAAAAAAAGAGGGGGATAGCAGGAAGAGGAAGAAAGTAAAAAGCTGTCTGCAGTTTGAAAATGGCAAGATATATATTTCTCTCCTCTGACGTTAATACATCTTCAGTTTGGCTGGCAGTCTCTTATCTGCAGAGCGACTCAGCTAAGTTATAGGCCCTGGTGAATTTTGATGATGACTGCAGGTCATCCAATGAGAATACCCAATAAGGACGGCTCTGGATGGTGTTATACTCCAAGGCCTGGCCCTTATTGACTCCAACACTGAACTCTTCCTTGCTGTACACCGTGTTCCCTTCACCCAGCCTCCTCACAGCTGACAAAAACGATTGCAGATTTCCATAAATTTTTACACTTTATATGTTTTAAAGGCATATGAACAAAAGGTCCCTCAGTCAAACATTGTCAATGCAACACAAGAGGAAAGGTGTAATGTTGCTGAAGTAATTGTGTTGCTTGGCTGTGTGTGCCTTCCTTAAATAGGGATAAGCATTCAAAGTCATGCCCACATTGAGCCTCAGCTGATTGGACTAACATTTGTTCAGCTTTGAACTAAAACGAGACTTTCATTACAAGAAAATCCTCAGTTACGCTTGTGCCACAGGAAGAAGGAACATCTTCTTCCTGTGATCTGAAAAGTATATTTATACACTGAGCGAGACCAATTCATTGCTAAACTTTCCGAGAAGTCAACCTCCCTCTGACATTTCGAGGGAAACAAGGTCACCGCTGTTTCATGTTCTTGCTGAATTTGAAACAGTTCCTGGCGTGAATAGATGATTGCTTTATTCAGATTTGTCCCAACACAGGTTTTAAACCAGAATAAATATATCAGGCCCTCAGCTGCCTCATTCACTCTTTTAATTTTTTCCTTCTCTCTCTTTTTTTTTTCTTTTCCAGCAAGGCGAGAGTGCCAATGAATAATTGAACAGTCCCACAGTCCAAATGTCACAGCAGGGAAAATTGTTTGTGCTGGCTGGTAATTAGAATTTCATTGTTTGTTATGTAGGTTTAAAATTCCTGTCATTCTACATTCCACCTTATGATGGCAGAAATCTCAGCGCTGGTCTATCTCGAGACACAGAGATGGAGAGATGTCATCAACAGACTTGCACACAGCTGACACAGTCGTTTTTATTAACTCCTTCTTTATGGCCAAAGATCTTTTACTCCTCACTTCTTTAAATGCCATTAATAAAATCAATTTCTCTTCTCCTTTGAGTTTTTGCTGCTGGTACAGAGTTGTGAAGAAGGGTTTTCCTCTTACAGGTTTCTTCTTCTTTTTTGTTGCACTAAAATGTTTTCGATCATCCAACTGATTAAATATTTCTGACGTTGCATACTTTAAAATGTTATGTTTCAGTTGAGCTCAGAAAGGCATCTTACAATAAACTCCTTCCAAGGTTTTGATACAAGTGGTGTGAAGTGAAAGAAGGTCAAGTAAAAGAGAAGGTTTTGTACGTCAGTAAGACAGATTCTTTTCATGAGGACTCATATTCGTGGTTTTCTCTCTTTAAGCAAAAAGAAATGTATAAAAATCATTTGCCAAACACCAAAGTTTAACTAGGATTGTTTATTTTCTTTTACGAGTTTGTCTAGAGACTCAGCTTTAATTGATTAGAGAGATGTTTTAGAAATATATGCAGGAAACATTTAAATGGGTCTTACCTTGTTTTTGGTCAGCAAAGGTTTGGATCTTGACATTTTTGTTCAATTTCCTCATTGAGTCTTGGTGGAAGCATCAGCTAATTACTCATGTTCAATCATGAAATCTGACCTTACCTGAGAAAAGTGAGGCCGGCTTTGCTGCAGATGTTCTGGGTTATTTTTTGACCTCTGGAAGAGTCATAAATGCATTTATGAAGTAATTTTGTTTGGCTGCACTACAGTTTTGTGTTTATTCAGGTATAGTAGCTTCATGTTTCTCATTTTACACAATAGAACTACAATATTTATGTGATTCATCAGATTAAATGATTATGCATCATTTTATATCATCTTTTAAAAATTTATACACATCAAATGTGTTTTAATTTTGAATTGAGGAATATTTTAGTTTGTTTCATTAAACCATTAAACAAATTCACTCCATATATGTTTAGAAGTGCTGCAAACACGTGGCATGGTTATTTTAAATTGCTTTTCACTCTCAGGCTGTACATTCTCTTTCCACTCCTTAACAAATTTAAATTTTTACTTGGAGTCATATTGTTTCTTAAAACAAATAAAGTAGAAAAAAAGCAAAAACCGGAAATATCTGCAAGGAGACAGATACTTTTTCATTGAGCTCTCTATTACTCTGTTACATTATTTCCATATAAATTGCATTGTTCATGAGGTTGATCTTGCTTGATTTATGTGTTTAGCTTTTTGGATTTGAAACTGTGGGAGGAATGCACACATCTCCATTCATGCCCATGTTGTGACATGTTTGAAAAATGCATTGTGCGTGTGAATTTGAAATAGTGTGCTCTCTCCATTTTCCAGATTTTGAAGCAATCTTTCCTACATAAAGAAGAAAACCTTACTAGTCAACCTGTGGCTGGTTCCTAAGAGCTGGATAAATGAACAGATGTCACTGATTAAGAAATCAATATTGTCTTTTTCTGAGTCCCACGTCTTACACCTGAACTGATTTCATGGTGAGAGTAGAAATCAGTAGAAAGAAATGTTGACTTTATTACCATTGAAGGTGAAGCAGAAACGTACTGTCTGCAAAAATTGCTCTGTTGTTTTTTTTTTCATCCTTTATGAGCCTACATATGGCAGTTTTGTTTCTGGATATTAACTCTTTTATTTTGTGCTTCTGGTCTCCATCAGCTCTCTGGTGAATGGCGCAGACCTGCTAGCTAACAACAAAGGGAGATTTTTCAGCTGAACAGATGACTGAAACTCTCTATAAAGCTCTGCCAGGCTGAACAAATTAAGAACCAGTCATTAAAACAGAGCTTTTATTCTCTATAACAAAAATAATCTCTTTAGCTGCAACAGCAGCAGTTTATTAAAACAGTAAATTGTGTGCCTGTAGGTGTCCTTGAAGGGGAACTAGGGCAGCAGCTGATGATTGAGTTCTTTTGTGAATTTCTGTCAACTTACAAGTGCTTAAGCAAATTGCTACCAGTGACTTGTTGTAGCTTTTTGTGAGAACAAAGAC